TTATGTTACCTTTATTCTTCGTTGTTGATTGTTTCTCAAAAATTGCTACGGAGTGCTTAGGAGGGATAGCGAGTTATGAATGCGTACGTTTTTAGCTGGGAGTGTTTAATTCCGAGAGTTGAGACCCATATTTTCAAAATAAGTTTGGGGTGAGTTAATGGAGTGGAGTGTCAGCGAATGAGTCATAAACTAATGACTTTGGAAGAGTCTTAATACATTAAGACACTAGAAGAAGGATTGAGCAATGTTTTCTACTTGTCCAGTTCTCACGACGTGAACATTTCTAATTCACGTCGTGAGTCAGTTATCAGGAGGTTCTCAGGATACGTTCAGCTCGATTTCACATCGTGAATTATTCCACACTCACATCGTGAATATTAGATTTATACGAGATTCAAGGCCCTTGACATTTTAATCTTCTATGGGTTGATGCTGTTCTTCTTGTCAATATATTCAAGATTATTTTGGCTCATTTTTTACCACCATGCAATGTGGCGTATGCTTTCCCACATTGGTCATTCTACTTTTGGAGACTTACACCATATTTGAAGATGATTGAAGGCACGATTTCATGTTTTTCCGGTACACTCCTTATTTCGCGAGTTCAAGAATCAAGTTTCTATTTTTGGAAGTCCATATTCAAGATGCACGTTTCCCGCACTTTTAGAGATCTTCACGCCACTATCCCAGGGGAGTTTGTTCTTTCTTCTACCTTTTCTTTAAGTTTTTTTTTACTTTGATGCATACAATGAGGGCATTGTATCAAATAAGTGTGGGGTAGGGGTAGAAGAAGTAAATTGCTAGAAAATCATATAATAGTAAAGATTGAAAATTTTGAAATTTTCAAATTTTTAATAATTGAATCTAGTAATAATAGTTTGAGCTATAATTGCTAGTATTATGCGGGATGATCCGATGAAAGTTCAAATGTTGAGTTGAGCCAATATACGTTATAGTGCATTTGTGGCCTCCCTTATTTTAGTGAAATCATGGAACAAAAACATAACCCCACTCGGTTTGAAGGATGCAATATGTTTAGCAGCCTAAAACTGAAATGTATCCAGGAAAATTATTATCATTAACCAATAAAGGTTGAGGTTGAGCGCCTCTGCTTAAGCATGTAGGTTTTGAGTGAAAAAAGAGAGGTACATGTAAAAAAAAGAGAGAGAGAATTATGAAAAAGTTTGAATAATTTTGGAGCAAATAAAGTGAAGATAAAAAGATCAAAATTCCAAGGTCCAAAAAGTTGAAGATACCAGAAATCAAATAAGGTGGCGAATTCAAAGAAATCAAAGATCAAATGTCAAAGAATTGAAGAATTCCAAAAGAGATCCATAGTGGTATCAAAAAGTTGTAATTCTAGATTATGTATGCTTAGGTTGCTCAACTAAAAATACCTTGAGGTTAGGAGGTTTTCTGCGGATGGATTCGAAGGGTTGCATAAAATGAGCATTGTTCGGAAAAAGTGGGCAAGTGTTTATGAAGATTGTGAGTATTTAAAGTATGGGGGGTACTTTAAGAAAATTTTTGACACAAATGCATGCGTTGAGGTCTTGGCATAATGGATGAATTAGAGTCGGATTGTTCAATGTAATGTTAATTTAAATTTGCTTGAGGGCAAGCAAAGCCTAAGTGTGGGGGTATTTTGATATTTCCATATTTATACTTATTTTTAGGCAATATTTGAGTACATTTTTATTTAAAAAGTCGGTAATTTGTTTAGAATAATGGTACTTATGAGCTTAAATGTTGTTTACAGCCAAAAAAGAAGACATTTTGAAGAAAAGGGGACTGAAAATGTTAAAGAAAGAAACTTTGGGAATTAGAAGAGTAAAAGTGAAGTAAATCTGGAGAAAAGGTTATTCACGACGTGAGAATTAAAGGATTAACGACGTGAATCGATGGTTCTAGAAGATATGTACGCGGGTGAAGAAATCCTTGACGGGCACGATTATCTACGACTCACGACATGAATTTATGATTATTCACGACGTGAATTTATGGATAACAGCAATTATATAGATCCTTGACCTTTACGAATAGGGGGGACTTTTGGCAGAAGAAAAGGAGTTCCAGGAGACGTTTCAGAGCAAAAGAAAGGTCCTGGAAGAGGGATTTCAACACCAAAAGAAGTAAAGTTTTATATTTTAGTTAATTATGAACATGTCTTTCATTAGTTTTAGCTGTGTTAGTTTAATTACTATGATGAGCAGCTGAATCTAGCTACTCTTGCTTAGCTAGATGAAGCTTTGAACTTATGAATAGTTATATGTTTATGGATTAATTTGAGTTGGTAAAAAAAGTGCTTGTGTTTGATTTGTTTGACCTAGCATGTTATTATTTGTTTATCTAATTGCTTGATTGCATGTTCTGTGTAGCTTAGTGACCACGAAACTGCATGAACCTGTTTACCTAATAATTTAGTGAACATTGAATTGTTAGAGCTAGGATTGACCAATCTTAGTTAGTAATTAGACTGAATAAATCTTAGCTGTGCTAGAGAACGTGAATTGTGACCATAATTGCGTTTATACAACAAATCTTACATAGCATATTTACATTCATAATTAGTTCTGTGTTTAATTATGTGTGAACATACATGGTTTGACATGAATTAGTTACTTATTGGTAAGATAGAACTAAATTACTAATATAACTAAAAACCAACTTAATAACCCATGGTCATTAGCTAGCCATAAGGGAGAAGTGGATTCAACTAAGCAAGAGTGTGTTTTTATTGAATTTGATTTAAGTTCATCTGATCTTGCAAAATAAGATAAAACCCCTTATTAAATTTGTTAATAAATTAGGTTAATTTAATAGTAAGTAGATTAATTAGTAACACCGTTCCCTGTGATCGACACCCGACTTACCTAAGCTATACTGTAATCTGACTAGGTACACTGCCTATAAGTGCATAGATAGTCTAAGTTTTTTAGGTTATAAATATTAAAATTAGTGGGTACTTTTGTGCACATGAATTCCTATTCTAGATTCTTAATACATGATGTGATAAGATTACATTTCGATGTCTTGTAGGATCGAAGAAAAAAGAGGAAGCTTAAGGGAAGAAGTGAGCGGAATCTAATCGTGAAGAAATGGATTTCGATCGCATTACTTGAAGATTAGAATCTTGAGCTACTACTTAGAGTTAGAATAAGAGTGCTAAGAAATATGTATTAACATAGTTTTTGAATGAATTTCATTGTAAGGACAAATTTTTCCGCAATAAAATAAAATTTTGATTTTATATTATTTATGTATCCTTGCGATGGCGTATATGAAAAATTGATGTTTTGAATGTTACTATTATTAGCAATAATGGATTTGAATCTTAATTATGTGGAAATGTCAAGAATTTACCAAATAGGGAGAGTTTTGATGGGTTTTGGTCGTATGAACATTCCTATGTGCACATACAAACCCTAATGCTTGGATCTAGGTTTCTCTAATTAAACATGCATTGAATCCAAGGCTTGTAATGAGTAATTAGGTATAAGAACAATACAAAACCAGAGTTAGAAGCATACCTTGAAACACTTGTTTGATCTTCTTGTTCTTGGAGCTTTAGAGTCACAATTGTCACTCCTCTAATGGCTTACAAACACCAACTAGCAAAGAGAATGATTTGAGAGAGAGGAGAAAGGAGGAAATAGGCCAGGGTTTCCTTGCTATAGAAGAGGTGCCGATTTCCCTATCCCAAGGGGTCTATTTATACTTGTAAGGCTCCTAGGGTTTCACCCTTAAACCCTAATTGGATAACTTAGACTCTAAGCAATCCTAATCCTTTCCTTAGATATGCCTTGCACGATTTGAGGCTTATCCTAGCCCTAGAAATTGTCCATACCCTATCTCTTAAGGATTTACAGCCCAAAGTGTAACTATCAAACAACTGACAGTTTATACCCTCTTATTTAATTAATCTCTTTAAGTCACCAAATTAATACTAATTAATTTATGACTTATATTAATCAAATAACAATATTATTATTCCTTATATTATTCTCATAATATATTAATAATATCTATTCTCTTATAATAAATCATCCTGTCAAGTTGCTATGGTGAAGGCAACCCAAAAGGACCATGCACAATCGGATCAAATTCTTGCCTAATATAGTTGCAGCCTTAGACACTATTCCAACAACGTTCCCATTTGTTAAATCAACAACCTAACTACTCCCTTCGACGTATCCAACTGCTATATTGTTTATCTATATTATGAAACTTGTTTATTATTGGATCAATTTGACACGTAAGGGTTCGGTTTGCTTCGAGTATTGAATATTCTTTTATTAAGCCATTATACATTGAAAAATACACCCATTTCTAACATTGTAGTTTCATTTTCTTTAAATGTTTGGATATTATACTTTGAAATATCTATCTAACAACTGTAGAAATTGTTTTCCATTTGGACGATGTTGTTGTAAGTAGGTTAGATTTTTCAAAGTTAAAGTTGTAAGCTTGTGATAGAAAGAAATGGATGTATGATGTTGTAATAAATAAACCAAAGTAACTATGTCGCTATTTCCTGCATTCTCCCAAACAACACCAATTTATCTCTCTCTGACCCATTCAAACCCCCGGTAATGGTGCGGGTGACCTTCCTCTAGTTATTTATATACTACTTATAATGTTTTAAAGATATTTAAAGGAGTTCTCGTGAACGTGACAATTTCTTAAATTATTTGGAACATAGACCACATTATTATTAACTAGGCTTCCTAAGCTTAATATATGTATTTTTTACATATATTCAAATTATAATACATGTTTTACATATATTCAGACTTACCGTCAAAGATGAAGATCATTTATAAGGGCTTGGACATGTAGAATATCACAATCTATATAATGATTACTTTTAAACTAATATTATCATTATATGTTGATCTCCTTCATACTTTATATTTTTAGTTTTCAAATTTTATTAAAATTAAAACATTTCACAAATGTTGATTTTATGAAAGTAAAATGATTTAAAACGATTTAATTGTCTAATATGAGGGGTGCTTCACAATGTCCTATTGTTTTCAAGTGCTTCAAAGTCCTTAAATAATATGTCAAAACTTCCTAAATTTCAACATGGCCTTGCCACACAAAAGCGATAATACGTTATCATTAAACGTTATTTGCAATCAAAATCACATACATATTTCATTTTCGGAAAATTATTTATAAATGAACAACATGACTATGCATATTCATGTGATATACCAAGGAGGCAAACACTAAGTTGCTTCGGGTCGCACAACATCGGCATATGATCCACACCATTCAACTCTTTCACCTCAACCACTGGATTGTTTTCGATCATCCAACGTTGAAATTCTTCTTTGATCGTTATATCTTCATCACAAATGATAAAAGCTCGTTTTACAGAACCAAACCTTCCTTTTGTAAAATGTTTTGCTGTGGCTAGGTCTTTTAGAAATAAAGATCCAGGCCTTATCAATATTTTTCCTAATTCACGATCCTATATATAGCATAATAGTGTTATCATTAATCCAATGATAATAATTATTTTTGAGAATGATAACGATTATTACCTCATTGGTGCAAAGTTGATAGAGTTTCAATGATAGAAACTCGGGACCAAAAAGCATCGATGTTTCAGACTCATTTTCATCATTGTATGGCAATAATTGTGTGTCCAACCAAGCTTCTAGTGGTGCACTTTTGTTATACTGTATATTCGGTAAATAAAATAAATTGTAAGATATAATGCATTGAAAACTAATACAAATTATAATTCTAAATACATTTTGGACAATAAATAATGGAAGTATATATATTAGTTAACTAGGTTAATACCCGTGAGAATCACGGTTATAAAATAAATTAAATATTTATTGTAATAAATTAGGCAACAGATATTACAAATCAATTTTTTACTCACTTGTTTCATCCGTGTAAAAGAGATGAGTGAATTAGTGGAAATTTAATTAATGAAGAAAAATCAAAGACTGATAAGTGACAAATAATTAATTTCAAGCTCTAATTGATTGACAATGTTATAAATTTACTACTCTTTTATTAGGTAGGGAGATGTGTAGTCCATTTCTATGTAATGTTATTTAATATCTATATTTTTGATTTCAGCGTCCATAGTTTTTACCATTTAGGGGTTCATACATGAGCTTAATGCTATATGTATATTTTCATTTTTGTAATTTTTTACATTAATTCAGTCATATGATCTTAAAATTTTCTTCTCTAACTTTGTTCTTATGAGAATAGAAATTATTTTAGAATAATTTCAAATATTGGGTTATGATATTACAACTTAAAATAATAATGAATTCCTACATATAATACAATTATAGAAATTTATGTTCGTGATTTAATTCCCTAATGTCAAAAAATTGTTTGTATCCACATGTTTGATTGTTTGAAAACAATATATCAATCTAGCAATTAAATTGAAGTGTAGTGGGTCTAGTTCTGAGGCCCTCACGAGTCCACAACCACGACTTTAGATTTCACTATTTATGTGGACACTATTTGAAATGTTACACGTGTACTTATTAGTCATGGCCGAATTATTGCTTTGTGTTGACAGCTATGTATAGATTCGTTGAAAATATGACATACAATTTAATACCACATGTTTGGATGCAAAAGTTACAATTAATTTTTTTAGGATTAACATGATAACTTGTTATTTATATTTATGTAGATCTTAGTTATGACATTAACAAATTATGTTTCAAATTATAAAAAAAAAAGTGCTTAAATTTGTTTAGCACAAAACACGTATAACACTTATATATATATATATATATATATATATATATATATATATATATATATATATATATATATATATATATATATATATATATATATATATATAGAGAGAGAGAGAAAGAATTAGGTTCAAATGTTTCTATCTGTTGTATACACATATGATTGATTCTGGACCAATCATTTTAGTTATAACACAATAATCGGGCATAATTGGACCTAATCGGATCTAATCGAGTTTGGTCAACGCATGTCAAAGTCGGACCTAATTAACTCTAATTGGACCTAATCGCCGATTAATCACTTTTTTGTAGGATTAAAATTAGATTTATAAATTTTTGAATAATTTTCTTAATAATTAATAGTCCCGATTAATTCCTAATCGCTAGTTCACCGATTAGCGATTTATGTAACAATGATATATATATATATATATATATATATATATATATATATATATATATATATATATATATATATATATATATATATATATATATATATAGAGAGAGAGAGAGAGAGAGAGTAGGAACTCAATTTTTAACATGGACCATTGCTTTTAAAAGATGAGTGGCTGAAATTAATTTTGTGTTTTCTCTTTTTTATTAAAATCAGGCGGTGGCATTATATGTAATTATTTCTAAATTTTGGAGCTTTCCAGAGGCAAAATAAAAAGGTGAAAACTGTAAAATGCAAAACGGAGGAGTAGAAACTCACGCACCATGCGCGAAAACCTCCCAACACCAAGACACGTGTTACCCTTATATTAACTGATAACTTCTTTTGTCTTTATAAAAAAATATGTTAATACTATAGTTTTTAAAATCTAATTCGCTACAAAATAAAAACAATCAAGAAAATTAAAAAAAACATATGTATTTTTTATTTTTTATACTTATAAAAGTGTCCAGAAAAAAATCCTCTAAAAATTATAATTTGTTTTAAAAAAATACTTCTACCAACTATTCTAATTATTTTATAAAAATTATTTTTAAAAAATAAGATGTTGTAGATACCAAATTTGATTTTAAAAGATTAAAAGTTTTATAAAAAATATTGACCATAATATAATGCAAACAGAGATGATTCAAAATATTTATAATTCAAGAATATTATGATTTAATATGTTTATAGCCCTTAACTTGTTATGATCTAAAATTATTTTAATTAATATATTTAATAATCTTTAATTATTATATTTTTTGTGATTTAAGTTTAAATGAACCAAAAAATATAATGATCCAAATGTTGTACTGAACAAAAACTTTATTTAATTCAATATATTATGATTCAAATTAGTATGATTCAAAAATGTATGATGCATAATATCGTTATAATTAATAATACTATGATTCAAAATTTTATGATAAAAAATAATATGATTAAAAAAAAAGTTGAACATAATATAATGCAAATAAAGATAATTCAAAATATCTATGATTCAAAAATATTATTATTTAATATGTTTATGATCCTTAACTTGTTATGAGCTAAAAGTATTTGATTCAAATATTTAATGGTCCTTAATTATTATATTTTTTTATGATTAAAAAAATTATAATGATTCAAATGCTGTATTTAATAAAAAATTTATTTAATTCAATATATTATTATCCAAATTAAAATGATTCAAACTAATATGATCCAAATATATATGATGCATAATATCGTTATGATCCAAACTACTATGATCAAAATATAATACGATTAAAAAAAACTGTGAATGAAAAATATTATAATCTTTAATATTCTTCTTATTTAAGATTTTATAATTTTTAAATATTAAAAACGCAAACCGATATTTAGTTTAAAAAACCAAAAAAATCAAAAAAGAAAAACAAAAAAAATGAAAAATAATAATTAAAAATGAAAAAAAATATAAAAACATTAAAACCGATGATATATCTATTTTAAAAAATTGAACTTTTCTAACAAAAAATAAAAAAACAATAAAAAATACAAAAAAAAAACCAAAATAAATGAACAAGAAAATGAAAACCCTATTTAAATAATGTTCCATAGATGTTCGTCGCGCATGATTATTCACTTGAATCAGTATTACGTTTCATGCACGTGCGCGGCGTGCGAACACCTCTCGACTAACTGAATGAGTTTGATGTTTGTGTTATTGACGAAATGATTGGTGAAAAATAGTAATCATAATTTCTACCAATTTTTTGGTTCCTATCGGATCTGGACCCTATTCATATAATCATTAAATTTATCTTTTTATTCTAAAAACATATTGTCATTACCTATGAGTTGGCAATTCTTTTTTATAGAAAAATGACTTAATATGATATAGAGTTTCTAAACCTATATGAGGTGGAAACATGTGAAAATGCAAATAATTTGCGAAAATACAAAAACAAGAAAAAACCAATGAGATTGTATCGCCTCAATCTTATATTTTAGATAAGAATCCATTCAAATTTTGAACTACATAATGATAATCGATGATACATGAGAAATAGTTTTATTTTAGCAAAACATGTTTTTTGATATTTTTACTATGAAAACTTGAATTAAAAAATGATTAAAGACGTGAAAAAACATATAGTTGTTAAAACCACCTTTAAATTTATATTATCATAATACTCTCCCATGTAAAATTAATATCTTTAATTTATTGCTACTAAATTTAATTTGTAAAATATATGTTTTTGATTTTTATCAGATAAAATATATTTTCATATTTTCGCAAATTATTTATGTTTTCGTAGGAATCTACTTTTATATATATATATATATATATATATATATATATATATATATATATATATATATATATATATATATATATATATATATATATATATATATATAGTATTTGATTAATTATTCAAAGTAATTAATTTTTATAACAAAACGTTAACTAATTATGATGTTATATACGAAGTATTTGATTAATTATTAAAGGACATAATATTACGTCAATCACATTCTCGAACAATTCATTTCTAGGTTACTTGTTTCCTATATTAAGAATGTTATACTGACGCATACAATATAATTTTTTAAGTTACGGAAACATAATCTTTTCAACTAAATTTGTTTGATAAATATCGACATATGATAATAGCAAGTAAAGTTAAAAAATAAATAAAATCAGATTAAAATCTCACTTAGAAAAAGATAATTTATTTATTTTAAAACAATTAAAAATATTTTTTTACCTGGTCTAAAACATAGGAAGACGTATGTACAGTATCCGGCATGAAAGCAGTGAGGAAGACTGCAATAGAGATCTTTTCCGGGAACTTCTCCATGGCGAGAGCCAAGGACATACCACCAAAGCTATGGCCGACGACCACCACCTTCTTCTCCGGCGGAATGGTGGCCATGAATTCCAGCAACGGCATACTATAATCAGCAAGTGTAGCCACGTCTTGTATTACTTTGGTGTTTGTGCCGGAGGCTGAGAGATCAAAGGCGGAGACGCGGTGGCCGGCAGCTTCAAGAAGAGGTTTGAGTTTGAACCAACACCATGCTCCATGGCATGCTCCGTGTACCAGAACAAAATGCTTCTGCTCATCTCTGGTGGTTGTCATTTTATCCTCCATCCATTTGTTTGTCTGGTTATTTAAAGAAAGTTCCGGATGACAAAATTGTCAAATTGGAATAGCTGGATGGTGGCTCGCTCACAAGAAAACATAAAAAAATAAAAAATAAAAAAAATAATTGAATTAATTATTTATCAATTTATTTTCATTTCTAATTTACATGTCAATTTATTATTGGTTTGTAAAATATATAAAATAAAACTTATTATCTGAAAATTTTGAGATATATATATATATATATATATATATATATATATATATATATATATATATATAAGAAATCTATTTATTTTTAAAAATAGATTGAATATAATAATATTATTTTTTTAAGACGTTAAGTATCTAAACATAAAGTATAACTAATTATAAATATAACAATATTATAAGTTTAGACGTGAAAATGATAAAACCCAAGTATGAATCTGTCAATACCAAATTCCCTGTAACTTTGGCTAATTAAACTGGTGAAAACCAACGGAATTAGTGAACAAAGATTTAAAATTGATATTAGATTTAAAAGAACTAAAACTTTTGAAAACCTTAGAAAACATAACCTCTCATCTCTCTCCAAAAATCCTTCCGACTTTTGAAGATACAATGCTAATGACATAAGAGAAATCGGAGTTTGGGCTTTATTTTTCTGCATTTCTCCTTTGATAGGTTTAGTGTTTTTTTTTCCAGATCTTTCTTTCTCCGTCTCCTTCTCTCGATCTTCATTTTCGTATTAATCGGGATAAGATTGATATGCAGTCGACAATGGAACGAGATGTGTTTACTTTGATGTTGTAATTTTAACTGTAATATGCTGGTTTTAATCATAATCAATCAAAATCATTACTTAAAAGTATCGATTTTTCTTGATGGATGTGATGTAGGTTGTGATTTGCATCACTGACTGTTGTGATTAGGGATGAGTATGGGTCGGTTTTTGGCTAAAATCAAACCAAACCGTAGAAAGTCGGTTTTTCGGTTTTTAAAACCATATAGGTTCGGTTTTTGCATGGGTCGGTTTTTCGGGTTGGGTTTATGGGTTTTCGGTTTTAAACCGTAGGTTTATGAGCTTCTGTTATTTTTTCTATTTTTTAGGTTCAAACCTAGTGAAAATACGTTGCGATAAATATTATTGTATCTACTATAAATATACTAAAATAAAGAGTTCGAATTCTATATTATAAAAGCATAAAAGTATTCAAAAGATCAAAGTTTAACATCATTAACAATTTGTTGAAAATAAACATAAAGTATTAAAGAGATAAAGTCTAAAATCTAAAACTAAAAGTTTAAATCATAATATAAATAATATATATGTTAGTTGGTTCGGTTTTTATGGGCGGTTTTATACATCAAAACCGAACCAAACCGTCATTTTTCGGTTTTTGTAAAATTCAAACCTAACCGTCGGTTATTGCTTTGGTTTTGGTTTTTCGGTTTCGGTTATGTCGGTTTTTTTCGGTTTTTCGGTTTTCGGTTCGGTTTTTGCTCATCCCTAATCGTGATGGGGAAACCTCATGCGAGTTGACATTGATTTTTATTCTGCTACTAGGTTTTGGATTTAACCACAAAATGTTACGTCACTATTGTCTATTCCTCAGTTGTGATTTCTATCCTTTTTTTTTTTTTTTGGCATCTATGCGTTCGTTCATTTGCTTGGATTAATCGACATCTGGTTCTAGATTTTGGTTGATCTTCATCTTCTTTCTTTTTGATTTCCTTTCGATCTAACCTTTCTTTTTATATTTTAAGCCTAAATGCTTCCCCTTTTTAATTTCTAATATTTCTTGGACTTTGGTGTTTTCTGTAGGTTGCTGTCGGAGATTCTCTCCGTTTGAAGGTTAAAGTAACAGTAGTTAGAAGTTATTGTTGATTATGGCTTAGAAGAGAACGACCAAGAAAGAGCTACTAATGGTTCAAAGTTTAAACATATTTATGTAAGTTTTATCGTCATTTAGTTTTGACTTTTAGAAATAAACCCAAAAAGAGTAACATTGGGGTAGTTTATTGATTTTTTAGGATCGTATATTTCCTCAAGTTTTTTTAGCTAGTTTATGATGTTTAAATGTTTGTTTTAAAGGAAAGTGATGGTGGTGGGAGAATGAGACTTATTTTGAAGAAAGTAGAAGGTCAACTTATTTCTTTTTCAGTTTTTCTTTTATTCTAAAATAATAATGGTCCTTATTATTTTTTATTTTAGTTAAATGACTTTGAAACTACATCAATTTTTGTCATTAGGAAGGATCTGATAAGATCCCCGATGGTTTGGAATTGTGGTTTTGGAATATTGCACCATTTAAATATCAGATCCCAAACATTGCTCGCCACTGGGCAATGTATCAGAATGTGCTCCGTATCTTCGTCCTCAAGATAACACTGGGAACATGACACGTTTATAATTGTGACTCCTCTCTTTTTCAATGCCAGGTTGGTTGGATACGTCCCAGATTAGCTTTCCAAATAAAGGTACTGGCCTTTATAGGGGTATCATGAATCCACGGGATGATTACTTCGTTGAGTGCCGGCTCTATATTATCAATTTTTAATTTGATCGCCTCTACGTGAAAAGTACCATCATCCGATAAGGGGCGGATCCATGAGTCCGGATCTGGAGATGGCCGGTGCTCATACAACATCTGAAAGCTATAAATCTGTTCATCAGTTCCAGGGGTTGATAACTAATAACATATGAACTATTGGAATAATTAATATCAAAAAAACTGATATTCAAAGCAATAAGTTTTGAATGAATACTAAAAGCAGATGTGAAGAGTTCTCCAGTTTCGATGATGGTAATCAAACAAAAGGTTATTTATCGTTATTCCTTGTGAGCTTGTAATCTCGGCTATTTTGTTTGTACACTGAGACCTTATGATGCAATATATGTAGACTTGTTTGTAAGTTGGTTCCAAGAAGTTGAACCAAATATAAAAGTTGCCATCATTTCCAAGAAGGCATATATCGAGGCCGTTTCTCAAATTCCTACTTCTTCTCATAAGGATGAGGAGAAGCAAAATTTAAATGTTGAAATTACCCGGTCCCAGAGGGTGGGCGATAGCGGCGAACGTCCAGGGCCCATCTTTCAAAAGGACCCAATTTTTTTATGAAAATTGTTATATTTAGAAGATAGCACAAGTAATTTTCTTTCAATTATTGAGTTATTATAATAAAAATTTGACGACATTTATGTATTTTAAGGGCCCATTTTTTTCACTCGCCCTGGGCCCAAAATATGTTTGGAACGGCCGTGCGTGTATAGAAGCATTGTGAGTCCACACATAAAACTAATTTTCAAGTTTAACTTGATGAAATATATTTCTTTCCACGGGTTCAATTTGGGAAGTTATACATGGGTAGATTATGAGAAGGAACTTAAGAATATTGAGCACGTCTATCACTCCCCCAAACTAGAACGGCGGAAACGTTCGGGGGCGGAGGACGTCATATTCAGTATCATAACAGTTCATAGAAAGGAAAGTACACACCGCCATATATATTAAAGTTTCCAAGATGTTTACATAATTGTATTCATTACATGTTCAAAAGATAAATACATAAACATCATTCAAAAGAAGTAATTAACGCCAGCGCGTTAATCCCAAAAGTTGATTCCCAAACCTGCTTAGTGGTTCCCTGAGAATACAAGTTATTTCAAAGAAAAAGTGTCAACAATTAAGTTGGTGAGTTCATAAGTAGTTTAGAAAAATTGGATGCCATTCCAAAATGGGTGTATATTTTCCAGAAAACGCAGCATTCAAATGTAAAGAGTTGTGATTTGTTTTGTTGAAAGTGAATGTATTAAATCCAGAAAATCCCATATTTTCCCTAATGGTTGAGATACAAGTTGTTGTGTTTCCCAAGAAAAACCCTTATTTTCTTATAAAAGTATGAAATGCATATGAATGTTCGTGCTATAAGTTGTAAATAATTGCACCAGGAAAATCCCTTATTTTCCTAACATAAATGGCAGTCTCTAAGACCAAAACTTTGCAAGAAACCGACGTTCAAAAGTTGTGTCATAGTTTTATATAATAAAGCTATACGAAGATCGCATTTGTTAGATGAAGAATAGCTTTAATAGCTACTCGTTCATAAAAGCATAATACCATAATAATTGTATATCCGATGAGTTTTATAACAATACTAAACATAATATGCCTGTAACGACGTTCTTCAGGCGTCGCAGCGTTATGACAACTGTCACCCCAAAAGACGGACTGTAGCTAACAGTCAGGGCGCGGGATCATGACTTCCCGTATAGATCTATACACATTTGACACGTTCTCCGAACGGGAGACTCTGGTTATAGACAGGACTTGCAGCATTACTTTCTAATAAAGAAAAGTAACGTTTGAAGATATACACGTCTCATGGATTCTCAACTAAGCCTGTATTAAAGTGATAGTTTTGTATGCAAAGTTTATCCTTTTTCACAATGTTTGACAAAGCAAAATCATAAGTTTTTAGAATGTATAAAACGACTTAACAATGAAATGTACTTTGAAATCATTATATACTTTGTATAAGTCTAATGCACACAAAGTATGACAAGAGTTTTCCATAATAGTAATGAATTCCAAGTGATTTATTCGGGTAAAACAAGCGAAGTGAAACTTTATAAAATACACGATAATAACCGTATGTTTACTTGTATTCCCCCCTAAAAGAGTATAAAAGCATTTAAAATGTATTTAAAGTGTGTTTGAAAGGGGTATGAACTCACTTGAAAGCTTGAAGATAGCAAGATGGAAAACCGGGCAGAGTTTCGTCTTGGGAAATGGATTTTCCTCGGAAATCTCGGGATTCCTCGGGAGTAAAATCGACCTTCAGGACTTGCACAAAATGACCAGGGCTTCGGGGTAGTGCGAGCACGGAAAACGAGGTAAAACGCAAGAAAAAGGAGAGAGAATGAGCCATTTTCCCGGGAACCCTCGCATGCTATTTATAGGGGGGCCTGAGAAGCCTCGTACGCGGGGCGTACGCTCGTACGCGGGGCGTACGCTTGTACGCAGCGCGTACGCATACGTCATGCGTGACCGAAGCCTCGATTGCCTCGGCCTCGGATGGGACGGCTCAGGCTGTCGGGTCGGATGGGACGGCGGGTCGGACGGGCGGGTCGGATGCCTCGCATAGGGCGACGTGGACGGTTTGAGGCCAAGCTCCTCGGGTACGCAGGGCGTACAGGGGTACGCAGCGCGTACCTCGGATGAGGACGCTGACTCCTCTTCGGATAATACCGAAGTTTTAATAAAAATTATATATAAATTATTTATCAAACTTCGAAAATTCATATCTCCTTCATACGAACTC